TGGCTTCATCGACGACGAGCACTTCATCGCCCTCTTCAACGTCTCCGGCGGCATCTGCTTCTTCCAGGCGCCGGGCACCGCCGTGGCCAACGGCAAGGTGACCCTCCCTCCGGGGAAGGACATCAAGGAGGTGTGGCCCGACGTGGCCCTCGACCAGGTGGTCAACTACGCGGCCATCCTCTCCGACAAGAAGGACGGCCACTACATGCTCTTCCGCTACCGGCACCACGACAAGGACGACGACAATGACAACCGCGACGACAAGGAGCAGCTGCCGTCGGACATCGTCGTCGACCTGGTGGCGAAGAAGGCCCTCCACGATGGCAAGCCGCAGAACATTCCCTATCGTCCGTTCTCCACCCGAGACCCGATGACGCTGTACTCCTTCTCGCTGATGAGCGGCACCGGCTACCTGACGCGTTTCGTCTACCCGGGTAACAACGTAAGGCTTTTTTGCTTGGTTGAAAAAGTCAGTTCAACTATTTACTGTTTGTTTTTTCCCCTTTAGCTGCTGCACCACCACCACTACAAAACGAAGGCCCTATATCAGTTCTGCCGCCCGAAGAACGGCACCAAGGGCAACCACCGCGAGATGGTGGCCACCCAGCTGAGTGCCGACCCGTATGACGACCTGGAGAAGTGCTCCCACCACCGGCGGCTGAAGGTGCCCGACCTGCTGAAGTCCTCCAGCGGCTTCACCGACGACACCAACTTCTACGTGGTCGGCCACGGCGTCGTGCTCACCTTCAGCCTGGACGCCGTCTCTAGGGAGAAACTGGGCAAGACGGTGCCCTTCACCGTGACCAACTTTACCGACTTCTTCGTTCAGGGCGGTGGCAATGGCGGTGATGATGATGATGGCGATAACAACAGTGGAAAGAACGAAAAGAAAGGTAGACCGAATTGACTAAAACCTTAGCTTCTTTTTACAATTTTTTTTTCATTTTTTTGCAGGCAAAAACAAAACACTGATGTGGATCCTCATCGGCGTGGCGGTGGTCGCCGTCGTCGGCCTCATGGTCGCCGTCTTCGTCTACTTCTGCTTCTGCAGCTCCAACAAGGCTGACCACGCTCACGCTCATCGTCGAAGCAGCAGCAGTGGCAGTGGCGGTGGTCGCGGTGGTGGGCGTCGTCGAGGCAGCAGTCGTGGTGGTGGCGGCAGCAAATCAAAGAAGAGGAAGAGCGCCAGCAAAACACGTCGAAAGAGCTCAAAGCGAGGTGGCGGCGGGAGCAGCATCAAACCGAGCCACAGCCGTCACAGCAAGCCGAGCAAGAAGCGCTCCTCGCGAAAGCGAAGCTCCACCACTGCCGCCAAAAGCCGACGCCCCACTTCTCGTCGTGCCACCAGCAAGGTTCGCTCCAGCAAGGGCGCCACCAGCAGAGTGTGAATTGGGTGCTCTTTTTTGGGAGCTCAAAAACTGCACTTTATAAACACCGGTGAGCTCAATCCTTGAGCCAGCTTTGGCGGTTCAGAAAAGTTAGGCGAGCTTTCTCTTCTTCCTTTACTCTTCTCTCTCTCTCTCTCTCTCTCTCTCTCTCTCTCTCTCTCTCTCTCTCTCCCATTCTGAAAGCTGATGTGAATTTACCCCTTTTTGACAAACACTCTTTTTACTTCTTCTTTTTGTCACTTTTTGCTGACTCACTCCTTTGATGATGTAGTGTTACACAAGCGTTAGCAGTAGCAGCAGCAGCAGCAGCTTTGATGAGCCATTAAAACGCTTTTAAAGTTTAAAATGTACACAGATCAGATCAAAGAGTTGTTGTGAAACGTCTCAAGACCTTCTCAAGGCCCTGAGCTACTCCTTCGGCTTGGCCTTTGGATTGGCTGCTGGCTTGCTGGTTTTCTGACTCTTGGCCTTCTCCTTTTCTTCCTCTTTCTCCTTCTCCTTCTTTTCGGCCGCCTCTTTCGGCTCCTCAGCCTTTTTCTTCGCCTTTGGTTTGCCTGTGTTGGAGAAAGAATTTTTCATGTTAGTAGATCAGAAGGATAAAAACAGCCAAACATTGAACACTTACTCTCCTCAACTGGCTCCTTGCTGGGGTCGCCGAACTCCACTGAAGGGTCAACCTCCTTGGTCAGCTTGGCGAGGAAGGCGTTCACCTCGGCCACCGGGGCGTTGTTCTGCGCCTCGATGTCCTTCTCCACCAGCTCCTTGATGACCTTCTCGATGACTTTGCCCTCCTCAGAGAGGGCCCACTTCTTCTTGGCGGCCTTCTTCGGCGGAGCGGCAGGAGGCGCGGCGGCTTTTTGGCCTTTTGCAGGTGGTGGCGCCTGCTTTTTGTCCGCCATTGGCTGTGATTTGAAAGTGAGGATCAAAGATAAAAGTAGAAAACGGATTGCGCCACTAAAACTGTTGTTTACTAAAAAAAACTTTGGAGTGAGTGTGTAAAGTGATAAAGCAGTAAACTGCAACGCATTTTCGGTTTTTGAAATTCTAAAAACAGAACTGCTTTGAATCGAATCTGACATAGCTTAGCAGGTCATTTTTAATGTTTTTTATTTTTGCTTGATTAATTTTGAATTCACTACAAAAAATACTCAAAATCAGCAGTACAACATAAATATGAAAAGCTCCCAATGTTGCATTACTTGTCAAATTCATACACTAGGATGATTTGTCACAGTTTTATCTGAACTGATGAACGCTTCAAGTGTTTCTCGGGTAAAAGAGTAATNAATCGAATCTGACATAGCTTAGCAGGTCATTTTTAATGTTTTTTATTTTTGCTTGATTAATTTTGAATTCACTACAAAAAATACTCAAAATCAGCAGTACAACATAAATATGAAAAGCTCCCAATGTTGCATTACTTGTCAAATTCATACACTAGGATGATTTGTCACAGTTTTATCTGAACTGATGAACGCTTCAAGTGTTTCTCGGGTAAAAGAGTAATATTTATAATATTCAATTTTTTCTCTACTAAAGTATGCTTTTAAAGCAGTAAACTTGGTAAATTTTGCAAATGAGGATATATTCAAACGATCACAAGTGTGGGCTTTGCAATGATGAAATTTTTTTTGCTCAGGTTCATTTTCAATCAAAGAGGGCACTTGGTCTGCACAAGCATTACACATCTTTGAATAATGAATTTGAAAATCAAAAACTTGTACATTAGGAAAAAGCAAGTTCAAGTTCAACAACTCAAAAATCTGATGGCTGATAACTGATCTGAGTTCAAGTCTGTGAAAAACGAAAATTAAGTCATTAGATGCTAAAAACAAAATTGTGTTACTTACTTTAAAACTTTCAAACTGGGCAAAACGGGCAGACCATCCAGTGGTTGGTTGTTTTTTAGCTCAGAAACGGCCATTTCGTCATATTTAGTCTTGACATTCAGATAAGCCAGTTTTTTGCAAGAGATTGCCAGTGCTTCTGTTAGTTGAACAAATAAGACATTGACAAAGGGGACCTCGAGACGTTGCAGATTAGCGTACTGTTGGGCAAAACGCTGAAAATTGTCGTAGTTTAGGGTTGCAGAAAAATTTTCACAAAGACGCACATCTCGCATTGCTCCGCTGACTCGAGGACCAAATGCGAGAAACTCATTTAGGGGTAGAGTAAATGGAAAATACAGTTTTTCAAGACACTTGTTTCCTTCTGCGTACTTTTTCAACTGATTAAAATAAATAGTTACTCCAATGTAACAATTTAGGACCACGATTTTCAGACGACTCAACACGCTAAGATCAATTTGAAGCTTCAAAGGGTCACTAGGTGGACATAGAAAAAGTTTCAAACTTTCCAGCACTGTCATACTATTTATTGTAGAGAAGAACGACATGAGAGCGTTTTTCTCCGCAATGATATCATTTGTCCACCATTGAAAACAAAAGGTCAGCTCTACAAGTTGGTCTCGGTAGAAAGCGAGCAGGCGGTTGATTTGTTCTAGATCACGATCAATGCTGAAAAATTTAAAAATTCGAAGCACCTTTAGCTTGGGCATCAATGTGGTAATTTGATCGCACATGACGGGCGTGATTGAATTGGCGACCAAAACGTGTCTATCGAGCCCAGTTTTGAGTTTAATGTACGGAGAGCCGTCCTCTTCATTTGTCATCTGAACGAGATGTTTATCAAATGTGTTCCAAAACAAGCCGTTGTCAGGCCATTTTAGGGAATCCAAATTAAGTTCGTTGTTGACAATAATAAGCTCTTTTCTTTGACGGAGTGCTTCTGTTTTTAGCCTGCCCCAGTCACTGCACACCTCATCAATGTGAAGTAGGTAGTGCAGCGGAAGGCTGTGGAAAAGGCTGAGCAGTGATAGCTCGGGAAGATCCTGGAGCATGACAGTGGACAATGATGATGGTTGTGGTGGTGATGACATTGCTGGGTTTGGTGGTGGTGGCAAGTCTGTAGAGAAAATGTTTTGAAGATAAAACTGCAGTGATTCTCTTCAGCGATTCTCCTGCACACGTGGTCCCTCGTGTCTAGGCCCAAGGCAGTTGTGTGATACTGTGCAGAAATAGCAGAAAAACAACTTTTGAAAAAAACCGCAGTGGCCAAAGCTGTGCTTGGTCTGTTAGCACCTCCTATGTGCACTTTCTGTGCCCTCAAGCCAAAGCTAGGCCCAGGTTGAGGTAAGGTCTCATGTGGATACTCACAGTGTGATATGCAGCCACTAAAGTTCACAAAGCTAAAATCCCCAGCTGCAGCAGCTTTACACGTTTACATAGCATTTAATTGTCAATGTTGGAAAGAACAGAAGCACCATCAGCAAGCGAGCAAAAAAGCAGTTCAAGCCTTCTTCTGCTCCTTCCCCACATGTTTGCGACGTCTTCGTCTTTGTCCCTTGCCTTTGGACGACAGCACCTTGGAGCTCTCCTTTCCATCTCTTTCCAATTGATCTTCCTTCTCCTTCTCTTCCTCTTCCTCTTCCGGCAGCCCCACGGTGACCGCCTCCAGGTAGGCGGCCAGCGCCTTCACCTCCTCCCGTCGGTAGTACATGTACCGCTTCGCCTCCCAGAGGCAGTTGATCAGGCGGTACTCCTGCTGCTCGTCCAGGTCGATCATCTCGCTGAGGAAGGCGTTCAGGCGGAAGAAGGGCGCGCCCATGCCCGCGGCGAAGGCCTCCGCCCGGCCGCAGACGTGCTGCTCCGTCTGCGTCACCTCGTAGACGAGCAGCAGCAGTATCTGCTTGATCTGCCGCAGCGTCGAGTAGTTGCCGGTGATGTCGAGCACGTCGGTTGGCTCGAGCAGGCCACGGCCGGTGCCCACGGANCAGACGTGCTGCTCCGTCTGCGTCACCTCGTAGACGAGCAGCAGCAGTATTTGCTTGATCTGCCGCAGCGTCGAGTAGTTGCCGGTGATGTCGAGCACGTCGGTCGGCTCCAGCAGCCCGCGCCCGGTGCCCACGGAGACCAGCGCCGTCAGGCGGTGCTGCTGCTGTTGCTGAAGAGGAGTTGGAGTAGGAAGATTTTTCTCCTTCAAGCCTTCCCCACTCAACGCCCTCAGCGCGGCATTGTACGCCTGCAGCTCACTGAGCGCGTCCACCGCGGGATTGTTTGCCAGTAGGCCGCCGTCGAGGAAGTCGCCGAAGGCGCGGAAGTAGCCGGGGGCCGCACCGGAGGCTCTCAGTGCCTTCCACACCTCCATTCGACGGCTCGGGTAGTGGTGGTTCGGATGCTGCTGATGCTGATGCTGCTGCTGGGAATGATGATGCACTCCAGAGATGGTGGTGGTTCCCAGAATGTTCGTTGTTGCATTGATTTGCTGGCCCGTTTGGCCCACTCCGACCAGGTCATCATCTCGATCGGGCAGCAGCTGCTCCGCCAGGTCGGCCCGTCCCCCCTCCGCAAACAACTCCTCCGCGCTGGGGTAGCTCCGGAAGAGGTGCAGCTTCATCGGCCGCCGGTTGGCCACCGCCGTCGGCACCAGCACCCACTTGCCGTGCACCGTCAGCAGCTCGCCCATCGTCAGCTGCTCGCCCATGATCTCCCGCAGCACCGCCTCGATCGCCTCCGAGGAGTAGGGCCGGCCGTGTTCCGCCGTCAGGACGCGGTCCTTCAGGCGGAAGTAGTGCGCTCGGATCGCCTTCAGCGGCATGCCCGTGGCCAGGAAGGCGGCGATGAAGGAGCCAGTGCTAGTGCCGGCGAACCAGGTGAAGTAGGCCGCCAGCGGGTGCTTCAGCTGGCGCTCCAGCTCGCAGAGCAGCTGAATGCTGATGAGGCCCTTGATGCCGCCGCCGTCCAGCGAGAGCATGTTCACCGGTTTGGGGGCTGTTTGTTGTTGTTCATTGCTGTTGCTGCTGCTCTTTTTGCTGCTCTTGCTGTTGTTGTTTGGGTTTGCCTTGGCTTGAGCTTTGGCCTTTTCCTCTTTCCTCTGCCGTTCAGCCTCGGCCACATTCCGGCGGATGTGCTCGCCGAAGAGGTAGTCCTTGAAGAGGTGGTCGTACTTCTGGTCGACGCCGAAGAGGCGCTCCGCGAGGATGCGGTTTCCCTCAAAGTCGCCGCTGGAGCTGCAGCCCAGGCTGCAGGCTGCGTTCTTTGAAGTGGAGGAGGAGGAGGAGGAGGTGTTTACGGAGATATTTGAGAACTTGTGGGCTTCTGCCTGAATCGAAGGCTCAGCTTTGCCCGATGGCTGCTCGGAAAGGTTGCTGTTCTTTGAGGTCTCCTTTTCTTTCTCTACAGAAGTTGTAGCAGCTGTGGCAGTTGCCGGTGGACACCGCTTTGCGCCCAGCGCTGAGAGCAGATAGAGAATGGCCTCATTGCTGCTAGAGTTGCTGCCTGAAGCGCTCTGAGCGGCACACTTCGCCGCCACATGCCGCACTGACTCGTTGCTAAAGTTCCGCGCGTCAATGTTGGCGTCAAAGACGATCAGCGTCTGCGGCACGACCAGATCATTCTCGCGCACCGCCAGATGAAGCGGCGAATTGCCGAAGATGTTCGCCGCGTTGACGTTCGCCCCGG